CGGATTGTTCGACGGCGGGGTGGTGGTAGCCACCTTACGACGACGCCGTGGAGCTGTACCCTGACTGCTCACCGAGCAGGAGCAGGAACGCGATGCTTTGGGTTGAAACTGGGTGATTACCCAGGCTTGAATAGCCTGGGTAACCTCTACTACTATGCGTTGGACCGAGAAGCTGGTGAGGAGGTAATTAATCGAAGCTTCGACGCGCGTGAGGCGTCCCTCTACGCGCGGGGTGCGCTCTTCGCTAGGGAAAGTTTGGTTAGCGGGCAAGAGAAGCTGAGGTGCCCCAGGAGCCTCAAGAGCTTCTGGAGTAGAAGTGGCACCGGTTCCGAGTGCTGGAGTACACATGGTTGCTTGAACCGGCGGTTTAATGAGAGTGGACTTAGCACGAGGACTAAGCTTGGACGTAGCTGGCGTAGCCGCCTGGACAGAGGAGGCAATACCGGATGGCCTTGCAGTACACTGTTGTTGGGGTTGAAGTCGCTTATTTAGGAGTTCGAGTTGCTTAGTTAAAAAAGAATTTTGCTTTTGAAGTGCCGCAACTTGCTGGCGAAGGGCCACAAGTTCAGGAGAAGGAGGATCGACAGAAGGGGGTGAGAGAGGCTTAGAAGCAGCTTTCCCTGCCCAACTGCTCACCTGAGGTACCGCCGCTGGTGCTTCGAGCGGTGGGAATGCTTGAGTGTCGGCGTGGAGTGGTGGAGCCGAATGATGCAGGTTGGTGCTGCTGTCTGGCTGTGATGAACATGAGGTGGTCCCTCGAGGAGATGTTGAGGGCTGCTTGCGTTTCCGATATTTTCGATATTTTGCCGTGCAGCCACTGGTCCCAGTCTCATGGGCACCGTGGCCGAGGAGGCACTTGGGGTGGCAGTCGTGGGCAATGAGACCTGCAGGTGCGGGGGTTCCACATTTGGCACACTGGGTTGGAGCGGCGTGAGGACACTGAGTTGGTCGATGCCCGATGGTACCGCACTTGGTGCAAACAGGGACCGTTTTCTTGTAGGCGCGGATATACGTAGCCACGCAGTGGTAGAAGAGGAAGCGGGGTAACTTCGTGCCCTCGAAAGTCACCACCGCCACCGCGGAATCTCCGAATTTGCGGACCGCGAGGATAGTACCTCGAGGCCAATGGAGTTCTGACTTTATCTTCTCCGGGCTTTCAGCAGGGTTTATATTGATGACGCCCTTGCATGTATCCCCTGGTGCCTTGGCGTGGCCCCGAACGGGCAGCTGCTGATCCCCCCCTTGCAGCTGGAAGTCCCCAAGGAGTCGCTGTGCCATAGGCAAAATGGTGGTGCTACAGACCAAGATGTTTTGTTCCCAGATCGGCCGCACTTGAATTTGCGTGGTAGTCCCGTCGCCGAGGTAGCTGCGGATGGCGTCGCCTGCGCGATCGGCCGGGACGAATGTGCGTAGCTCGCAGGGAACGCGAGGTTTCACTACTACGATGTAGTCGTCGCGAGAGAGGTGAGGAGTTTGACGCGGACGCCACCTGCGTTGCTTCGCTGGCTGCGAGGACGGAGCAGAGGTAGGCACACCACCGGAGGGATGGCGCGCCGGCGTTCCTTGCAAGGCTGGGGAATGGTGGCCCGCTGTGGCGTCTCGTTGTTGTTGAGACGCAGACTTCGATTTCGCTTGCTTGCGTTGCCACATTCTCACCATGTCGTCGAGGTATTCGTCTTCTGATGGAATAGTGTTTACGGAGGATGAAATCTCCATGGACAGCATTTGGCTTGAGGTAGGATTATAGCCCGTAACCACGTTAGCGGCCACCATCGCCGGGCTGAGAGCCCTTAGTGAGGCGGCGTTGTAGCCGGGAGTGAAGGACGTCCCTCAAGTTGTCAAAACTGGAGCCACCTGGACGAAGGTGTTGTCTAGGCGAAGCGAAGAACTTGGCAGTGACGATAAATCCAAGTTTCAGGGGTACCAAGGTGTTATCCACAGAAATAACAGAAAATCTACGGAGGCGATGTGGAGTGCGTCCGTCACCATCGAGCGCTCGCAGCGCCCCCCATACTCGCAGGCGTGCGCCGCGCTGCGTTGCTATGATGCATGCGCGTTTCATCGCGTCCAGTGTCCCTCCGTCACGAAAGGAGAGAGACGCAGTGCTGTCTGGGTAACGCATCGGCGCGAAATGCACCATATCGCATTTCGCGCCGGTTGCCGTCGAGCCGCGGCGACAGACGCTGGTCGCACCTGGCGTCAGACTATAGAGTGCCCACGTTTTGCTCATTACTATACGGAAAATTAGTTGGTTCATGGTGCGTACCATGGCCTAGCAATAGCTCGGCATGACACATTCATTGCTTGTTGTACAGACAGTCCGTATATTCATTTCAGTTTGCGAATAGACGAGCGACATGTACGCTATCTAAATATACCTGAAGCACTGTTCTTATTGGTGTTCTTTTTTCAAATGAGTTGTCCGTTAGAAGTTTCCGATGTAGGCTGTTATAATGTTTGTGGCTGCGGTTTCAACAACGTAGGTAAAACAATATTTGGTGTGTACCTGTATACTACAAGGCTGTGTTTCATAACAGCTAACGCTCATACGTATAACTGTGGCGTCGGAAATCTGGGCAAAAAAGAATGTCTATCTATCGACTTTTAATGCACTGTTCTTTACCGGTCGTCGAACTTTTCGATGGCAAGAGGTTAAGGCGTTCAGAGATGTTGCATACGCCGATGTATCGTTACTTGCAAAACGTGACGCAAGGTCACAACTGAGGAAAATAAGAAACGGTAAAAGGAACCACGTTCTCCCGTTTTTTCAACCTTCAGCCTAAGTCAAATACAGCTACTTGAACAGTTGCGAATAATTGCTTTTAAATTATACATGAAATAAGCTTCACCTCAGGCGATAGACAATACATTGTTTTCGCATATTCACGGGGGCCAACTTCATGTAGTGACACTCCAGTGGCTTCACCAAAATATTATAAACAATGTTAAAAGTGGCCACATTTATACGCCAGAGCTGACAGTCACTTTAAAGCAGCTTTCAAGCAGCCCGATTTAACCAAACAAGTACGCTCTGCGGTGACGTTAGGTTCATAAGCAGGCTTCACAAGGACATTCAAGTCTTCAGATATATTGACAGACACTATGCTGTGCATGACTGCAGGAACTACAGTATAGATCCCACCTGGTATACGAAGGGACATTGTGCACTACGTTCAGTACGACAGTAGGCCAAACACTAGTCCTCATGACAGACTTACCGCGTTCAATCTAATGTCGATGATTCCTGATGTCGTCATTTCCTTCTGCAGCACTCCAATCAGGTGCATGCTGAGGAATTTCATATTGTGGTTTGGGCAGAAGGAATCAAAATATTGGTGTTGGCCCCGAGCTTTCGCTGCCCATCTTCATTAGGAGTGTTGTGAGATGAAGGGGCTGTAATGCTTCTTTCGTTGGCTTTTTAGCTGATTACAAGTTGAGCGATGTCGTTAGATGGCTCCTCTATTGACAGTGAGTAGACATCATTCTCTTCGCTGCCATAGTCCAAATGAGGGCCATGTGTTTTGTGGACGTTGTCGCCGCTGACACCACCCTGGCCAGCACACGTCTGTCCGTGTTAATCGCCATTAAACATAGTAGCAAGATTCATGAAGTGCCCATGTGAGCGTAGGTGAAGAACGCGAAATTATAACAAGGTGAAGCATATACGTTGCAAAGCCATTTTTTGGTGTGGATGAATGCTATGAGCCACGCCAACGCTTTCCGTAAGGTGGCCACCTGGTAGCGTGTTAACGCATTGACAAAAATAGACATCTATTGAAAACGCGCCAAATAGGACGGACACGTATAAACAACGCTTTGAAAAAACTACTCGTGGGTTTCGCGGTGACGATAGATAAACTTTACCAAGAATACTGTGATTCAACAGTGATAGATGTAAAAGGCGCGTTTCTAAGGCCTACAAACTATGTGACCATGCCGCTGTGAATAGCACGTCCAGCATCTGTTGTCGTCGACGAAGAGGTCGTGGGTATGAATCGCACCGATGAGACTTTCCCTCTTTGTCTTCTGATTGTATTTTTTTACTACATTTCTGTGACAGCAATACGCCACTCCTGTTGAAATAGAGTATTTGTGTGTGAGATCACTGCTTGGCCTTTGTTTAAGTATTTAGTATTCTTATTTTTTATGAGTGCATAAAAATGTCGAGCCATGACGTAATAATCTGTTGCCAGAATCAAAAACTGCATTCCGTGGAACAATTTTGTTATGTGGTCCACTGCACGTGCTGTGACACTACTTCATCTTTGTTCAGGATCACGTTCGTATTAGTATTTACAGCAGTTGAAACTTCGGTAGATGAGGGCGGCACCAATTCATGCTGCGCTTTACGTCCCACCACAGCAAAATGAAAGGCTTTGGCCTGTACTAGGCGGTATTTATATTAGGCAACATGTAAGACTTACGTCCCACGGAAATATTATATTAGAGTACTATTCGCATGAAAGAATAGGTCTTTTGTCTTTATTTTTGCAGAAAATCACGCATTGTTGGTTACCATCACGTGGAGTTTTTAGAAGGGATGACTAGTTGCTTAAGGTGCCTCCATAATTGATCGATTGATTGATTTGTGGGGTTTAACGTCCCAAAACCACCATATGATTATGAGAGACGCCGTAGTAGAGGACTCCGGAAATTTTGACCACCTGGGGTTCTTTAACGTGCACCCGAATCTGAGCACACGGGCCTACGACATTTCCGCCTCCATCGGAAATGCAGCCGCCGCAGCTGGGATTTGAACCCGCGACCTGCGGGTCAGCAGCCGAGTACCTTAGCCACTAGACCACCACGGCGGGGCGGTGCCTCCGAAATTCTCAACAATGGTACTGCCACATGACTGCCCAGTGTACAGTAAGTTTGAATTCCTTAGGAAGATTATTCATGACGTAAAACAGAAAAATGAACTTACACAAACGAAAATTCACTTATACATATTTGTAATTACTTTGAACTATATAAATCGGTGGAATTTCAATACTTACGCATGAGCCAACTCATGAGCAGCTGTCACCACGAGCGACTGATATGGTTTGTCAGCTGTCATAACAACCACGTTCCACTTTGTACATGCTGATCCTCCAATCGTTATTCCTGTATGCAAAACAAAAGACGCAAAGGTTTTGCTACGGCTGGAAATGGTTTGGATTTGTTCAACACGAACTGCTGTGGAAGCGCAATAGGGTGGCCAATACCATAGAACACATTACTATTTCACAAAAATAAGCTTTGTTGAACACTATCACGTCACCGCTATGACTTTCCAGAGGCATCATTGGCTCCTCTATTATTCTAAATGCAAATGTTTTTAAAATGTATTAGCTTTAAATAAAACTGCATCATTGCCTCCTTCCAGGTGGCCATGGCTGTAAAATTTTGTGAGGTTATCACGCTGAACCTAAGACGACTTGAAGGCGTTATCCTGAGTCCCGTATATCACGGATTTCAAAACTTTTCTTTAGAGTATTCCTTTCTTCCTGCAATAGACGAAGACTTAGCCTCACCCCGCTCCGACCCAGTGGTCCAGTGGATAAGGTACCCGGTTTCTGTAACCCGGGGCACGGGATGAAATTTCTTTTGCCGTGGCTGCATTTTCGCTGAAAGCCGAAATGCTGTAGGCCCGTGTGCTCTGATTTGGTTGCACGCTAAACAACCCCAGCTGTTTTAAAATTCTGAGCCACTCTACTACGGCGTCTCTCATAATCATGCGGTGCTTTTGGGACATTAAACTCGTCATATCAGTCACTCAAAACGGAGTCTTAGCATCCTTTATGGCGCGCCTTTTCTGCGTTAATCTCTAGTTCTCTGTAGGCAGTGTTGTGGAAACATGATTCTTTTGCGCAGTCACAATTTTATTGCAATTCTCAGTAAGCCTTAACAGTACAATTACCATAATTTATTTTGTTGAGTTGCCGTGATTTTTTAACCTCCATACGATTTGTGGCGCCACCGTCCTAGCCTGGGCACGTAAACGCTATCCAACTGAACGTTAATTCCTAATGCATGGCCTGCGTCAAATATTTCAGGCACGGTAACGCTATTTTCTTCAGCGCCACTAACAAACACTAAAGTATAGATGTCTGTTTTTTTTTTCTTGAAGGAAGGGAGGATGCAAACAAGAAGAGAGAAGCCAGGAAAACTTCAAGTTGGCTACCCTTGACTTAGTGATTAGCGAAGGGAAATAGAAAGTTGGGTATGAGAAAGGAGGCAAGAGAACCAAAAAAAGGAGAGAAAGACAGTGAGTTCACTGCACCGCGTAGAATTCTTCCACAAGTCAGAGGCAAAAACACAATTTCGTCATCCTCAAAAGCGCAAAATGGATTTGACTGCCTTGTGGGTGGTCGACAGATGTGGCGGGTGCTATAATAGAACCTGCACAGAAAGTGCGCGACCAGTCAGCTAATGTGAGTATGCAAGTACTTTTGTCTCTAAGGCCAATCGAGGAGAAAAGAAGAGCAGGTGTTCCATATTTTTGTCGGTACCGCAAACATCACATGCCATGCAATTTCGTCACTAACCTACTTGAACAATGAAAGAGAAAAGATCGCAATATTGTAATTGAATGGCTTAAAACATACCATGACCAAGTACTTTCCGTCCATTAGGATAACAGTACATCTCGAGTCTACAGTAAAGATAAAAATAAGTACTGCTCATCATGTGTGTGATACAATGTTCTGTCTAGTATTCAGTGCGAGTGACATAGCGCACTCATATATATATATATATATATATATATATATATATATATATATATATATATATATATTATATATATATATGATTTAAAAGGAAGTTATGTGGGTCCAGTGCAAACACACACATATAGTGAAAAAATACCGGAGCACATTTACGAAAATCGATACATTTTTTTGCTCTACGTTTCGGCCATGGCACAGCCTTCATCAGGATGAACAAGAATACGAGTGTGTGGTCAATTTTATGGGCAGGAATGGAGACAAGAGTACAAAACACGTACGATCAGCATATGAGTGTCCCGAAAATTTCAAGACAACCGCGACAACACTGAAGAGGTTTTTGAAAAGGATGTTATGCAGAAGGCAAGATTATGAGCATAAAAAAGGCAATTGTAACGTTGACCATTGACGACGATGATCGCGCATGAAAAACAAAGCAATAAAAAATGTGATGACTTTTAGGAAGCAGAGAATATCTTGGAGATGCTTCTTTGAATACTTCACAAAAATGCGGACGTCAGGACATCGTAGAAAAACATGACACTTCGCCTACGCATTCGTCAATGCCGGATAACACACTATTGAATTTATATAATAAAAATATTCTCGAATTTTGCGATCATGGTGCGATTTGAAGCCTGATTCTAATAGCGTCGCCATACTCTTGTCGAACAAATTACCTGGTAGAAGAAAATGCTTGGACAATGGGAGATGTGGCAAACTGTTTACGTGTGATTTGCGGTTGTTGAAACGGATACGAAAAGACGTTTTGGTTTGACCGATGTATTGCATGTGGCAAATTGAGCCTTATATTTGTATATATATATTATATATATATATATATATATATATATATATATATATATATAATATAAATATATATATTATATATATATATATATATAATATATATATATATATATATATATATATATATATATATAGTGGGGGTAGTAATTCAATGGGCCAGTTAGTCTTCGTGAAGGTATGGGATATGGCACAACGGGAGCATTGTCAACAAGGATAAATATATTTGTTTCCCAACAGTTTCCGGAGGGGTCCTCCCTTCATCAGGGGATGAGTTTTATACTCATCCGCTGATGAAGGGTGTACCCCTCCCAAAACTGTTGGGAAATAATATATTTATCCTTATTGACAACGCTCTCATTGTGCCTTATCCCATACATATATATATATATATATATATATATATATATATATTATAATATATATATATATATATATATATATATATATATACCCTTTTTTAATTGGTGGAAGGTGCTGACATTCCCCGTCGCCTGAACCTGGTGCTGCCATTCGCCGTCGCCTGAACCTGGAGCTGCGCAACCGAACGCTACCTCCCATCATGGCTACCAACAACGCGCAACCTGGCTCTTCCACTCCATCCCCCAGCAACCCCGGCTCCTCCACCAATTGAAAAAGGGTTTATTGACGACTGTTGCGACGGTGGTCCTACGAAGAAACACGATCGTGCAAGAGCAACGGTCAAGCAGATGCCGGCGATGATCAGCACGAGCCGAGCGAGCCAAGCCCAGCACCCAGTACCCAAGCGGTGGCGATGTTGCTTGCCAACGACGCTCTTTCTTCTTCACAATTTATATATATATATATATATTATATATATATATATATATATATATATATATATATATATATATATATACATATATATATATATATATATATATATATATATATTGTCGCGAGCAAAAAACAAGACCTGCAGCCAGGAGTTCACCCTAACCAGAGCAACGAAAATGTTCTCTTCTTCTTCGTAGCCCGAAACGGGTATGAGCCACAGCGGCTCGTTTATGAATGGTGGCATTACCCCCTCTCCCAAGAAACATTGTTTCGATACTGTACATGAAGGGAAAAAAAGAGAAAACGAGATGAAAACTACCATGCAAGCAAAATGAATGGCGTAAGGCGGAATAACATAGTGGGTTGTGGAGCCAAGAGTTAAATGAGAAATAAGAAAAATAGGAAAGAATGTAAGGGAGAGACGAATAAAGTCAGTCGCTCACTGGCGATTCACAACGTGAAAAGTATGGTTTCAGCCGTGAAACGTGAACGACTTCAGTTCGCGGGGTGAAACGGGAACGTCTCGAAGTGCCTTCTGGGAGAACCTCGTATGTGACGTCGCTGAGACGTCGTACGACCTTGTAAGGGCCGAAGTAGCGGCGAAGAAGCTTTTCTGAATGGCCACGTTGTCGGATAGGGGTCCACACCCAGAGTTCATCACCGGGCTTGAAAATAACTTCACGGTGACGAAGATTGTAGCGGCATGCGTCTGCGGTTTGGTGATGTTGAATACGGTGACGAGCAATTTGACGGGCCTCTTCTGCACACTGCGCAAATTTGGCGGCATCGGTGCGGTATATTCCTAAGTTGTCGGGAAGAGAATGGCGTCGAGCATCGTCGTGACCTCGCGACCGTGAACTAAGCGAAAAGGTGTGAAACCGGTACTTTCTTGAACAGCAGTATTATACGCAAAAGTTACGTAGGGAAGTATGGCGTCCCAGTTCTTGTGATTTATGTCCACTTACATTGACAGCATGTCTGCAATTGTCTGATTGGGTCGTTCAGTCAGCCCATTTGTTTGCGGGTGGTAAGCCGTTGTTTTACGATGTTCCGTGCCACTTAATCGCAAGACTTCCTGCAGCATCTCTGCGGCGAAAGCTGTCCCACGATCAGTTATGACGACAGCTGGAACACCGTGACGTAAGACGATGCTGTTAACAAAAAATTTGGCGACATCTGCTGCGGTGGCTTTTGGAAGTGCCTTAGTTTCACAGTAGCGTGTTAAGTAGTCTGTAGCGACCACAATCCACCGGTTTCCAGACGAAGACGTGGGGAATGACCCCAGCAAGTCCATGCCAATCTGATGAAAGGGCGCCTTTGGTGGGCCTATTGGTTGCAGTAGTCCCGCTGGTCGTAAAGGTGGAACCTTACGTCGCTGACAGTCACGACATGTGCAAACGTAGTGCTTCACAGTCTTTGCGAGACGTGGCAAGTAGTAGGAGCGTTGAATCCGTTGCAGCATCCGCGTATAACCGAGGTGTCCGGACGATGGCTCACCATGACACGCACGTAAAATGTCACCACGAAGCGTAGTAGGCGCAACAAGCTGATACATACCTTGTGTAGGAAGAAAGTTCTTTTTGTAAAGCACTCCATCGCGGAAAGAAAAGGAGGATAGCGAGCGTGCAAAGCTTCGAGGAGGGTGGGAATTGCGTCCTTCCAGGTAGTCAATGAGCGGAATGAGCTCCGAGTCGTGACGCTGTTGCTCAGCCAAGCGGCTTGCTGATACGGCAGAAAGGAAAGAAAAGTCAATCAATGGTAGCAATATACATCAATGGTGGCAATATATATATATATATATATATATATATATATATATATATATATATATATATATATATATATATATATATATATATATATATATATATATATATATATATATATATATATATAATGATAAATGTACATATTCATGGGCTCGTTGAAAGCTATCAAACAATTATGCAAAGGAAAGTTCTCAGACCTAATCGGATGTGAATGTGGAGGAAGAGAAAAGTGGATTAAAAAACAACCTAACGTGGACAGGAGCTGAACTTGCGACCTTCAAATATTGCATTTTATGCTATACTAACTGAGCTGCCACGGCGGCCATCGCCACAAACGATTTATTGTGTATACATGTGAAGTGAACGTGGGAGTGTCAGTAAGCACTACCAGTAGCCATGGCAGCGAGTCTGGAACACTGTTTATGAGACTGTTTGGCCTCACGTTATTCAGACGGTATGCCTTATATATAAGGTCTTGTGTTTTCCCTTGAAACTTCTTTTTTGCACTGAGCATTTGTGTGGCATTGTTACCGACCGACGGAAAGCAGGGTTCATTTTTGTCCAAAAAAAAAAACAAAAACATGCTGACCCCATTACCACGCCTTTATTTTATTTATTTATTTTCTTTATTTTTACCAGACCAAACTGGAAGGTCGCCAAGGCTAAAAGCCGTGAGAAACGGCTTGACAAAGGCCCTGGTGACCTGAATATACACATGGCAGTAGTGCGGAAATGATTACAAGTACATAACATGCAAGTACAATAAAAAAAATATGAACAATACACAATTCAAAAATGATTTTTAACTGATTATTTTACAATACCTGTTATAAAATGTGTAAAAAAGGGTTTTCAATAAGCAAAATACACCATGCACAGACAAATCGTATACATTGACACTTATCAACCTAAAAAGAAACATATATACATTTATGTGAAAACACATACATTCATATCGCTAATACAACGCAAGATAACGAGATATAACATGATACAATTTATTTACACTGGACTGGACTAGGAATGTTCCTATGGAGCCAGAGAGCAGAAATGTGAGTGTAGTTGTTTTTTGTTGCAGGAGATTGTACTTTCGTGCGTGTTAAGTGTTGTGGGAACGTTGTAGGCCAAGGCTTGGTGTCTATATGTAGTGCGGAAACGCGGTACGAACCAAATATCTGTATTTCTTGTAGGAAACGTAATGACACGACGCTGTAGGCATGACAGTAATCTAATGAAGTTGGAGAAATCCTTATTCGAGAAATAAAGTGTGTGCAATAAGCGAAATGTGTAAAGGTTGTCAGCTCGTATTATATTAAATTCTTGGAAAGCTCCACGCGTCGTTCCGAACGGTTCAATATTTCCAATCTGGCGGACTATTTTTTTTTGCAAAGTAATGACTTTATTGATGTTTGCTTTGCTTGTCGTGGCCCATACAAGGCTGCAATACATTAGATGTGAATTAAATAGCGCATAATATATCTGAAGTTTCACTTTGAGCGGCAAAATGTTCCGGCAACGAGACATCACTCCTGTTACCGAAGAAAGCTTTTTAC